TTTGCTTTCTGCACCATTCTTCCCCCTAAAACATTGCTGCCATATTTGCTTTCTGCACCATTCTTCCCCCTAAAACATTGCTGCCATATTTCCTCCCATTTCTACTTCATCTTCCTACCAGAATTTGCCACAATCCGAGAAGGCAATTAAGATTTTAAAAGGATTATTTACAGTACCAGCTTTCATATTTTCGTTTATTAAGGTAAGTTTACCATCTTCCTATTGTTTCCTTATATTTTTTCTACCCTCTTTAATCTTATAGTTTAAATCCATTATCTTTGGTATTCATAACCCATTTCTGTTTAGTATTTGATAATTTATAATCTATATACTGTGAAATAAACTTCTGCAATTTGCATGTACCATTTCCCAATTGCCCTTCATTTTTATTTCAATAGCAAGTTTTATTTCTCATTAGTTTTCACCATAATCTTCATTATATTTGAATGTTTTCTTGTATATTATAGTTTTTGTTTCTATCACGAACGAATGAAAATTACGTTATTTTTTACTTGTTATTATTTATTATATTATACATAACTTACATGAAAAAAAATAGTAGTTAATACAAATATTATTATATTGTAAATACACATTTGTTAAATGGCTAATTAAATATTAATTTGAAATTTTCGGTTCCCCTTAGATGGCATTTTCAGTAAGTTTTTCATTAGAAATAAAGTAATGGTTAAACTATAAATTTTGCTCCATAAATTTAAAGGGTGTGTACACTCTTCATATCATAATTGGTTTATTAAATTATAGTCCCTAAACTATGAACCAGTATACCTTATTAGTCCTTCTGTTACTTACCCGTTAATTTTATTACAATTTGCATAATTTTAAGGTTAAATCTCCATTTTGGTCCCTAAACTATTGTACGGACCCCCGATTTGATCCTTGAACTAAAGAAATCCCTGATTTGGTCCCTAAACTATTGTATGGATCCCGATTTGGTCCCCACTGTTTATAATTTGACCTAATTTGGTCCTTATTGTTTACAATTTCGCCCCAATTTTGTCCCCGAGCTATTATTTAATAGAAGGACCAAGTTGGGGCTAAATTGGTAAACAGTATGGACCAAATTGAGGATCCGTATAATAGTTTAAGGACTAACTCGGGGTCCGTACAACAGTTTAGGGACCAACTCAGGGATCCGTACAATAGTTCAAGGACCAAATTAGGGATTTATTTAGTTTAGGGACCAAATCGGGGGTCCATACAATAGTTCAGTGACCAAAATAGGTATTTAACCTAATTTTAAATCCTTAAATTTTTAGTCTAAGTACATTTCTATCTCTCAACTTTTAATATATGCACAATTTCTACCCAAACTTAAAGCTAATTTACTATACATATATATATATATTTATTTTTTATGCAATCGATGATTCACTACTGGAAAAATCAGTATATTCGACAGCGGATTCTGTCGAATATGAGTGATTTTCTGTCGATTAAACTATAATCGACAGACATCTTCGACAACTTTTTTTGTCGAATATACTGCAGTCGATAATCAGTATATTCGACAGCTAATTTTTCTGTCGATTAAATAAGTTTAATCCAGTGTTATCAATAGCGGATAGCGGCAAATAGCGGAAAGCCCGAAATCCGCTATGATAGCGTAGCGGGTAGCGTAGCGGCTGCTATAGACAAATAGCGGGTATTTAATAAAAAAATTAAAATATAAATTTAATAATTAAAATAAGAGATAAATCTAGTAATAAAAAGCATAAAATGACCTAAGAGTTTATAAAAATTATCAAAAATGATAAAAAATAATATTCTCAAGTCTCAACAAATAAAAATCATAGTTTATAATTATCAAACAAGATAATAAAATACTTAAAGAGTATAAAAATCAGATAAGATCAATTCTGGAAAAAGTCAGATAATAGAACTTTAAAACAAAAAATCATTCACTTCCCATGTTACTGTCAAAATCAACTTATTATATGCAATCTAGACTTCCATATTAGAAAATACATCATAGAATCAAAATCAAG